TGGAATTTCAAATAAAAGTCATTCGTTTTGGCAAATGGAACTTTTAGACAGAAAAACCATTAAGCACTGAATGTTAAGCTTTTTAATTTTAAGCTGTGTTTAATGCTACAATATCAGCATACTTCATAGATATCAGTGTCAGTCAAGTTTTAGTTCAACTGAATTATTCAAAGTCATGTGCAAAGATTTGCAACAATAAATCACTAAAAATAGGTACTGTATATGAATACTGTAAAACTATTACATTGTGTATCTATGGCCAAAATGTAAACTAGGTGAAGGAGGGAATAGATTGAATCAGTACTGTGTTGTACATAAGAAAATTTTACCAGCATTTCAGAGCACAGATGATATGAAACCTGTGCTGACAAAGTAATTTAAATGTTTTCATAAAAAAAGAGAATTGGCTCTATAAACAAACAAATAAATTAAGATTTGCCTCTAGTTGCGAGATTTTATCGAGAGGCATCTTGCTGGGGTACATTACGAACTTAAATGGAAGAAGCGAGGAAACAGCGATAAAGATACAACTGTCATATACGTCACGTGTCACATTTCGTGAGAAGCCTCTAAGAATTCTAAACCAAATGGCGCACATGTAAGAGTAAAAAGGTGGAAAATTCCATATTCATAGGAACATATTTCTAAATATCAGTTTAGTGTTTAAAAATAATGAAATACCTGCCCATAGCAATTTGTACATTTTTGACTGCTGCAGAGTATTATTAATTATTATTATCATCATCTTCATTATTATTAACAACAACAATAATAACAACTTGCAGCTGCTTTGTGATCCGATACATGATTGAAGCCCTATTTTGACAATGAACATTTTCTTGTGTCTCACATCATATCTCGTCTCTTGTGAAACCAAAATGATGTCTATGACAAGACATGGCTGTTATTTAGATTTTTGGTTTTAATAAAGTTAGAATATGTTGTGCATGAATGTTATGGTAGGTTGGTGTTCTGATGCTGGTGGACATCAATCTGTCAACAACAGACACATTTTTATTTTTCAGATAAATAATTCAAACAATGTCAAAATGTCAGGAACAATGACTACATGAAACCTGATTGATTTTTGATTATCTTAAAAAGAATATTGAGACAGATGATGCTTCATTACTTCATTTGCATTATCATATAATGGCATTCAAAGAAAATGTTTAAAGTTATTTATCTGGATAAAAACTGCATATCTGTAGAACTTATGAAAATAAACAGTAACAGAAAAAAAGAAAAAAACAGGAATTTCTTCTTTTTCCCAATATGTTGATATCTTGTTGGATGGCTAGATGAACACAGCTTCAGCCCCCAATGTCTCCTCAGGGGAACCCCAGCCATTTGTCAAATTTCACTATTAGCTCATTTAATCAATTAACTTCATTAGTTAAAGAATTTGATGAGGCATTAATTAGCCAAACATGGTATGCCGGTTGAGTCATCAAATGCGTATGTATATTGGATTGTTACTGCAAATACTCGGGGTGACTTTTGCAGAGGTTTTTAAATGGGTAAGTTAATGGACTTTGAAAGACAGAAAATTATAGTTTTGCACCAACATGATTATCATTTACATATTGTTTTCTTTGAATGCCTAAGATACTTGCGCAGTACTCTATTCTGTTCATGTATATAAAGGATTTGTGTGTTACTTGTGACAATCCTATGGTTATGATTAACCTTTATACAGTCTTTGTAACATCTGTAGAATCACTAGCCTATATGAAAACCACAGTTTCACATATTCAATTATAAAGAAATGGTATTAAGTTATTAAAGAACCCCTAGGCCAAAAGTAAATACATTACTTATTGTTTAATTGTGCCAAGCTTGCAGGTAGACTTTTTACTGTTTTTTTTAGGTTCCCTGCTCATCTGTAGGACAGAAAGGCCCTTGTGTTGCTTATGTCCTTTTCTTTAAAATTTCAGGTCCTTAGCCACTATACAACTTACTTTTTTATACTTAAATATATTTATATAAATATATATATAAATAAAAAGGATTGGTAATACTGCTCATCAGGTGAACCTGCACTATAAGGACACCTGAGATTTGAAGTATTTTTTCAAGTATTTTTCTTTTTTCCAACTGTAATTTAGAAGTTCAAGTTCTCTGATCTGCATAAATTAAACCATGGAATGTACTGCCTCAGTTTGGCATGGGGCTGTTGTGACAGAAAAACAAAATCATGTTAGCCTACTAACAACATCAGAATTATCGACTGAAATGATATCAATCAAAGCAATTGTTCTGTTTGTTGGAGCATAGCGTTTCCCACCCATAAATATAGTCACACTGTTTCTTAATGTAATGACTTAATATTTATTGCGATGATTCAGGAGAACAGCATCACCAAAGGTGCAAAAATAACATCTCTTCCAATTTTTTTGAGATTTTAATATTGTTTTAATTCTACAACAAGAGAGGCTAAAAGCCGAAACAGAAGCAATGACATTTATGAGATAAAATGCAATTATTTCCTTCCTCTGTAGGGGACTAGCTATGACTATTGATACATTTGTAGTGGCCACATCAAATTCAGCAATGTGGAAACACAGGAATAGAAGCAGTGCACTTCAAGGCTTCCAGTTAGAAAACTAGCCTACAGAGAATTACGATATCGATCACGCTGACAGATTGGCGTGATCAGCAGCCAGCCCGCCTTGAGTTACAATCATAAAGAGCACAGTGAATCTGGGTAAACGCTGCGGTGCCCACTTACACAAGAGCATTGATTGCGGAGCGTGTACCTGTTTGATTAATAATTAACCGTTACTGAATTTTGTATCGATTGCGTGATGCCAGCTGTGATGTATTGAAGGAGGCAGGACTGAGTGTCAGTTATACACTGCAATCAGCTGGGTATGACAGGAAGACCAAGGGCCACCCACCAGGATTCCTCTGATGATCACTATGGGAACATTTCTACCACTACGAACACAGAATCATAGGATTTGTTATATTCATTAAAGGCAACAGTTGAACGTAGACACTTTAAAAAAGCACTGAATGCTTTTGTCTGTTCAGATTGAAATGCGACTCTATGAAGAAATCTTCTGTGAAGCTTAAAATTGTTTTTGTGAGTACTGTATGCTCTTGTAGTGCAATGCAATTAATATTATTATTATTATTATTTTTCTTATTATTATTATTATTTTAGGGGCATCTTCTTTTTGTGGACTTGATTGACTTTTAGGCAGAATGTTACTCAGCACTGCAGTGTGATGCTCATTGCTTTGGGGGGGACATTCTGAAACTCTGCCTGCAGACTCATGGAGCCTGACATGGATTTGCACACATATTACTGAATTCCTCCTATGTGGTTATGGCACAGTGGCTCTCAGGGCAGGACTTCTGCACTGACACCACGCGTCACCCTGGCTCCCTCGAAAGGTTCAAAGGCGTGTTGGGTGGATGGTTAGCCCCCAGTGCCCATGATGGGAAGGTAGCTGGTTTGGGCCTGGCTTCAGCAGAAGAGTCACATCTTCATTAGCCCCTTGATCGAGGCCTTTAACCCCCCCACCCCCCCAAAAATGCTCTAGGGGCACGAGATAAGTGGCTGTGCTCAGATGCAAAGCTTCTCTCACGGCTCCCCATACGTGTGTGTTTGTCTCGAAGAAGAGTACGATTGTATACGTGATAATAAGCACTGCAATATATGCGCGCCAATGGCAAATCATCGCTTTAAAAAAGAAACTCCATCACCTCACCCAGGAAAAGCAGGACAGAGATGAAAAGTAAAATGAAATAATGATTGTCAGATAAAACTACAGAAGACTCTTCAATGCAACACGCATAGATGGTCGTGTTGACCTCCAGTCGTTCAGTAAAGGCAAAATGATGCATCAGTATCATGTCTAAGGAGCTTAATTTACTTTATATTTTCACATAATTTACCATTAATGTAAGGGGAAAGGCATTTATGTGAACATCTATTAAGTATGAATGAGGGTTGCAAATGCCTAGGCTTCCAATTATAGTTCATCCAATTTAACTAACAGTTATCAGTTCCTTCAAGCTCATCACAACATGCAAATAGGCTTCCCCCTTGGGAAGAATGTTAATCAGGGTAAAATTTCCACAGTCATAGTTGCCAATTGTCTTCTTGTGGTTGTCGTTCACTGGATGCCCACATTCTTTACTGTATTTTGATTGGGTTTCATGATCAATATGATTAATGAAACTTTCATTTCACTACAATAATCTTAATATGAAGCCTCAATTTATTTAGAGCATATAGTTATCATAAAAAAATGTGAAAGAATTGCCATGTATATTGTAATTCAATTTCTCTAGCATTTTTCAATCTTTTGCTGCAGTATTGATATGTAAGTAGTCTGACTCTTTCATTGATATGCTGTAAAATAAACAAGTAATATGTATGTATGTGTGTGTGTGTTCAGATGACCAGTGACTGCAGAAATATTTGATGCCTATCATGAAATAAAGATACATACTGTATACGTCATGGAGTCGAGAAGCTCTCAAGTTAGGATCCAGTTGCTGATTTTAATTCTAAAAGCCGAATCGCTATTCCAAGATCAGAATCTCAAGTCATGCAAAGGTATATAATGTGTAAAGATGGTGTTGGGAAAGATGCAAAATCGTAAACCGAGAAATCAAGCTGATGGTCATGGAATACGGCGTCCGAAAACAAGAAGGAAAAATGAGACTTAGCTATATGGTCTATCCCAAGGGTTTAAGCATGTGACCGAAAATGCAGCACAGGTGTGTTCCATCAGTGACCCGAACAGTCCCTTCAGGATGCGCGTGGGGGTGGGGGGATTCTGTATGGTCAAATCTGAGGTCTGAGATGGCGTGACTGTAGATATGGAAGTGATCATTCATTTGACAGATTTACAGTTTTCTGACGCCAGATATTAAATGGAAATTATGAATAATAATTATGAAATGAGTCACTTTGAATAAATGCTAATCACATAGTAGGAATTCATAACCCAATGGTAACATTCTGTCTGTTCCTCATCCAGGCGGAATCTTCGAATCTATCGAAAGTGGCCCATCAGGAGCAGAAGAACTGGCCTTCAAATTTGCTTTAAACACAATCAACAGAAACAGAACTCTACTGCCAAACACAACTCTGACATATGACATCCAAAGGATTAACATTTATGACAGTTTTGAAGCTTCAAGAAAAGGTAAAGTGAAACTTTTGTAAAAAAAAAACTTTTTTATAGAAAAAAAAAATAACTTGTACTTAATCAGCGGTTAAGAACTGTGTTTGTATTTGGTTGAGTGGGGTTTTTAGTCATCTACTGGTGTGTATATGCCAGGAAAAACATAACTGTGTGGTTAAAAAATAATTTGTTTTATATAATGACAGCCATAAGCAGCTGGAGTGGCACTGATGATGAAGTCTATCATGGTTAACCGTCCATTCCTAGGAAAGTCCTGGGTCGCTGTGTACCGCGGCCATCCCACTGCAAATTTGGATGATTAATCGCTGCAGTGATTTTGCATTATGTATATATAATTTCTGATTTTGAAGGTTTTAAGAATCCTGCACCCACAGAGGGTGGCGTTGTGCATAGCCTTATGTCACAGTGTTCCCCAAGCTGCAACCAGTAAATAGGGACTGTAAATCACAGTCCGTAAATAGCTCACTGCGTAAATGGGACACTGCGGCCAGCATATGTACCCATACACTGATGTCCTCTCATTACAAGGATTGAGCCCAATTTAATTTTTTTTATGCTGTTATGTTAGGCTTTTGATATCAGTCTGAATAAATTACAGCTGTGCGTTTAAAGAGACCAAACTGGATTAAATTCAGTTCAACCTTCAACAAGCTTCTGGACAGCAGGAGTGCAAAATGGATTGAAAAGTGTGCACTTGTTCTTCATTTATTTCAGTGTGGATTGTGCAAGAACCTTGCTAAGTTTGTCCATAGGACTCTGGAAATACACAAACATAAATTCAAGAATCTGACAGGGATCAGCTTTGTTTCACCTGTTTAATAAAAAAAAATCTTTACTATAAAAAGGCATCAGGAAGAGGTTTGACTGCTTGGTGACTGGGTAGCAATCCTTTCCTCTAAGCAAACAGCCATTAGACCTCCAAAGCTAATAAATTGTTACTAAATCAAACTTTAATATACTTATTTACTATATTCAGTAAATGATTTAATCAATGGTTTTTTTTAGTTCTCTTAGACACCAGCTACCAATACGTGCATGCCACACTACATTGTTTACAGCCTGAATAAATTATTTGAAATGAATTTAGTGCATAGAATCAAGAAAATTATTTATTTAATATGTATTTTTTCAGAGCTGGTTTTGTGGGCATTGATGGTACAGTTATGTACCTACCCTGGCTAGCATAGGATCTGTCAGCATATTTGCCCTTTCTTTCCTCCTGTCATTGACAGACTTCTGTCTTCTCTCCAGCCTGTGACCAGCTGTCCCTGGGGGTGGCGGCCATCTTTGGCCCCTCCCACAGCTCCTCGGCCAATGCCGTCCAATCCATCTGCAACGCGCTGGGCGTGCCCCACATCCAGACCAAATGGAAGCACCAGGTCTCTGACAACAGGGACTCCTTCTACGTCAGCCTCTACCCAGATTTCTCCTCCCTCAGCCGGGCTATTCTAGACCTGGTCCATTTCTTCAAGTGGAAGACGGTCACCATTGTCTATGACGACAGCACAGGTGAGTGCCAGTCAGACTCCTGCCCAGTCGGACAGAAACGTTGGTGTGATGTTGGCTTGCTTTTGCTGCCCTGGGGTCTTTGAAACATTACATGCTAATCTCAACTTCACTACTTTTTGAAAAAATGGCCATGGAATCTGCAGATGCAGTTTTAAACTGCAAAAGGACACCATGGTTAACTACTGAATATGAAAAAGAATACAAAGCCTTATGGGAAATGCGCAACTGTGTGTCCATCCATCCATCCATCCATCCATCCATCCATCCATTCTGAAACCACTTGTCCTATTCAGGGTTGCGGGGGGGGTCGAGAGCCTATCCTGGAGGCTACAGGTGCAAGGCAGTGAACAACCCAGGATGGGGCACCAACCCATCGCAGGGCATGCGCACACACACACACGCACACACACACACACACACACACAGGTTGGTTATTATATCTTGGTGGGAACTCTCCATTCATTTCTATGGGGAATACTCTAATCCCAACATGATGACCTTAACCCCTACCCAGCCCTAACCTTACCCATAAGTAACCAAACAAAATTTGAGACTTTCTACTTTTTTGATTGCATTCACAGATCTTTCTGGGGACCTGAAAAATGGTCCTCACAATGTCAAAAAACAGCTTTTTATTACATTGTTGGTCCCCACAATGTAATATAAACCTACTCCATACACACACACCATATACGACTGTGTATATTATATATAATTTTATATAATTTAAATTGTAGCGCCAACAATCTAGAAAATGGTGGTTTGCACATATGCAGATGCTCCTTTTTGTGGGCTACAGAAATCCGTACAGTATGAGGCTGCAGTCGCGCCCCTAGGTCTTGGAGCCCATTCATTTTCCTGCAGCTGAAATTGATTTCTTCTGGACCTGATGCTGCTGTTAATCCTTGTACATGGTCATGGTGACTTTGAGATAGGGTTAACAGCGACATGATTTTCGTGTCACAAGGCTGGGAGATTGGATCCCCAGGGACCACATGAGATGCAGAAGATCTTTCCCGTCATTTTAATCCCGATGTCCCCACTGGCGTTGATTCTGCTAAATGTCTGGATCTAATTTTAGCATTTCCCTTAAGTAGCTTAAAATAAACATGTAGTCATTTTCTGAAGTTGCACGAAAAAAAAGGTGGTGAAAATTTGGTTCATTTGGTACATTGGTTTACACAGCTCACTTAATTTAAGGGAAATGTTTTCAAAGCATTTCTAGGATGGTTGGATTTTCTTTAAGTGGTGTTGTCACAAAACCCAAGGATTAATAAAATTCCATTCCACATATGCATTTAGAAAACATGTTTATTTGTGTTTCTCATCCAACATCTGAATCAGTTACCTGGAAAAGTCCAGCTTATGTATCAGAAAGTCAAGAAAATTTGCTTTAAATGTCACATCGGTGTCACCTTTTGTGAGGATATCATGGGTTAATGGAAATCTGTGATTTTGTTAGCTGCAAAGCAGAAGCGGGTGCTTTCAGAGAAGCAGTGCACAGTGAATGTGTAGTGTCATGCCTGGCCACCTTGTTGCTGTTAAAGAAGGGTTTATGTGCCTGTTGCCATGACAATGCCACCAGCAACAGAGAGAATAGGGAGAGAACTGGAAAGCACAGGTAATCATGTAAGAGCAATAAGTAACATACAACTGAAGTAACACAGCTATTAATTAATTATGCAGTCACCCCTTCTCATGAAATTAAAAAGTCAAACAGTTGTTTAATTATTCATTAATTGATTACGCAGTCATAGCTCTATGGATGGTAAAATAAATTTTGCTATCCGTAAAGCAGTGCATAATTAATTACCCTGTCGAATTAATATTTCTGTGTCGCACTGGGATTCTGTCATTATTTAAATATACATATAATTTTCACTCCCTCCACCTGTGCATACATGGCGAGCCTGGAGCCTATCCCAGGAAGCACAGGTCACAATGTGCGTAGCCCCCAGGGGGGCTGTCCCTCACAGGGGACACGCACACTCACACACTAGCCAGTTGATGAGGGCTGGTTTGCCTAAGCATATGTTTTTGGCTGTGGGAGGGAATCACGTGACCTAAAGAGAACGTGCACAGTATATATATGATGCAGTTACTGTCTGGAGTGTGTTTCTTCCTTTATTTATATAGAGAAGCTGTAATTGTTCTTTTGGTTGTTTTTTTTTAATGTTAGTATATCGTTAGAAGGGTTGCACGCTTTGGTTTGGCTTGGAGTGAGATTTTCAATTCTAAACAAGTCTGCACACACATGCATACGTATTTACATACGTGTAACACCTTTATTACCTTGTAAATAGTCTGTAGGGTGTGCAAACTGCTCCAACGCTTTTGATATAGCTGTTAGATTTTTAAAGGAATAATATATACAATATACAGTGGTGCCCCAGAACTCGAATTTAATCCGTTCAGAACTCCGGATCGAATCCTAAAAAGTTCGAGTTGTGATCGAATTGTCCCCATAAGAAATAATGGAAAACCAATTAATTGGTTCCTAGCCCCAAAAAATTACACCTAAATGTTTTTTTTTTTAGCATTTAAACACAAAATGAACCGGATAAAACAAGAAGAGCATATACTGTACTAAACACATCTAAGCACATTTATCAAAACAGTAATTTGTAAAGTAAGAAAATAAATGTACCCAAACAATGTGTAATAAAGTTAAAAAAATAATGTGTCCTGCCCCGATCGTCCGCTCCTTCTGTGTGCCACGCCCCCTCCTTAACCCCGTGTGGAATCCCCGTGTGATCAGCTGTTTCTGTTTGTTGTCATTAGTCCTCTGTATTTTGTCTGCGTTTCAGTTTGTTTCCCCAGTCCGGTCATTGTATTGTATGTCTGCGTTTTGCATGCCTTACCTGTAATTAAACCCCGTATTCCCCAATAGCCGGACGTCTGCGCCTTTTTCTCCGTTCCATCCCCGCTCAGCACAACAATATTATTATAATTAAATGTACTAATGGTTTATTATTAATATTAAATTAAGAAATCTTTATTTTTTAATGTATTTTATTATATAATAATAATTACTGTTTCTGTCTATCATTGTCTAAATGTATTTTTACTGTCTATATATGTATTCAGCTAGTGTAAACATGCACCATGCTATCACAGCGAATGCGAGGCTGAGACTGAAGCATTACCCTTTGTTTCCGCTGAGAGATGTACCGCGTGACTCATTCCCCCGCGCGTACAAGTTATCCTAGGTCGGTGTTCACGGTTTGACTTCTGATCAGAAGATTCAGATCGAGTTCTAGCTAATTTTCTTTCGGACTGGTTGGTTCGACTTTTAAGAAATTCGATTTGTAATGAGTTCGAGAACTGAGGTACCACTGTATTTGCCGTCAGATTTCTCGCGTGAGCCTCTGTGTCCCGCCAGATGCGTGAGAGTTGGCAGCCCCGCATTAGTCTGCAGAAAGCATGGTAGTAGCAATGGATTGTACTGGGTCGCCAATAAACTTAAAACCCGAGCTGCTGTAATACTCAGAGAGGATTTCCCCGCCTAATCGGTATCATAAGTGTGTTTATAGCCACGCTTATGTCTTTTTTAATTTTGTTCATTTAAAGGTCAGCGTGGGATTGTAAGAGCACATTCACCGAGGAGCGTTTGATTGTTGGACTTTTGCGGCGAGCCGCTTTAGCGAAGGCAGATGAGAGTTGAGCGGCGTTTTCCGAAGGGTTTTGTGGAAGAAAGCGGTCGATGTTCCAATGTGTTTATGATGCTGACCTTTATTCGGCATCTCGAGAGACTGAATGTAAGAAGAAAAAAAAACGCAGCCATACAGCCCTGATTCACGATAAGCGCCTTGAAGTTCAGAGACCGCGTCCACCTCTTGTCAGAACTGCCACGCAGATCGATATATATTTTTGTATTTACTCAGACCGGGGTCCTCCAAGTATATCTCAGAGTAAGGTAGCGACGTGAATATGAGCAAGCTGTGCTGGAGAAGATCCAGCGTGTCCCAGGTCCCCTCCTGTAATCTGTTTCAATTTGATGTGTGTGAGTGCACCGATCTCGCGCAGGAGACTGTAATGAATAAGGCACTGCAAGTGCAGTGTCCATCACGCGCCTCACTGCAGCCTGCCACACTGTTTGGTGCCTCGTGGGCCGTTGGCATTAATGCGGCGGTAATTCAGGTTTACCGTTTAAATTTTTAACGATTTTTTAAAATTAAATAAGTGCCATGATGAACCGATGTGCACTGCGGTGTTTTATAAGCGTCAGCCGGCGCACTGGCTGCTCGGCATAAGGCTCGTAACGCTCTTAATGGACATCACGGCGTCGTGATGCCTGCAGTGAAATCTCTCCTTGTTCACAACCTGACCGCGGCACCGTTGACTGTCTGCGCCAAGCAAAGTTAGAGCAATTAAATGTCATCTCGTTTTCTAATGCCATCTTAAGCGCGAACACAATTTATCATTCATATTCTTTTGCCGTTTCGTTTTTAGATAGCAAGTAACTTTCGTTTATTAGAACAATCGGTGCAGCCATTTCTATTACGAAAAACATGGAATCGGGTTATTTTATTTGAAAAGAGAAAGACGTGATGGACAGGCACTCCGTCCAGGCCACCTCCCGCCTGTGCCCTCTGCTTCCTTGGGTAATTGTATATTATATAAACCGATGTTAAGCTATTCAGTGAATTGTTTCGTCTTATTTACCCTTTCCCATGAAATATTTTTGTCGCGGGGGGGATGGGCTGTCACAGGGAGAACAGGGGTGGGGGGTGCTATTTTAGGACCAGTCAGGAACAGTATGTCGGGTCCCAATTAGTTGCAGCTCCTATTGTGTAGGGCAGTTACGTGCACCAACATGCNTTGGGGGGGGTGGGATCAGAAGGAAACCAGTCTGACATGGCGAGAAACTGCAAACTCCATGCAGGTTTCCCAAATTCTGACCTACTGTACCATCCAGCCTGCTGTTAATAATGTATTACACTAGTGGAAACACTTCCAGTATTTATGGATTGCAGAGCTTTATTCAGCTGTTGCTCCAG